AAAAAGATTCTAGCTTCTATCCAATTTAAGGTACAAATATAATAATTATCTAGTTTGGGATAGTTAATAAAGACAGTATACTATGGATAATGATGTAGCTCTAACAAGTACAGAACCCTAGATTTGATCTTACATACCACCAAAAAACAACAGAAAGCGCATACTAAAAGACTAGAGAGAATGCTTAGCAGTTAGGCGAGTTCTTCCACAGGACCTAAGTTTAGATACCATCACTCAAGGATGGGCAGCTTACAACTGCCTGTAACTCTAGCTTCAGGGGATCCCCTTCTTCTGGCATCTACAAGCACCTGCACTCTACTGGCATACATACACACCAAATTAAATAAGTAAAACTTAATAGCGGCATTAAGTGATATTTCCACATCTTTTAAAATACTCATGGGTTGGGGCTAGAGAGATGCTCAGAGGTTAAGATCAATAAATTCTCTTGCAGAGGACCTGGGTTCGATTCCCAGTACCCCCATAGCAGTTAACAGCCATCCATAACTCTACTTCCAGGGGATCTGATGTCCTCTTCTAACCTCTGTGGGCACTACACTACATGGGTGTATTTATATACATGCAGGCAACATACTCATATACATAAAAAATAAAAATAATAAAACATTTTTTAAAATCCATGGATTTACTTTACATTTTGATTGTTTGGGTTTGGGGGAGGGCTGGATATTTTGTTTATTATTGAGGCAGTCTCCCCATGTAATACCGGCTGTCCTGGAACTCAGAGCAATCTGTCTGCCTCTGCCTCCCAAGTGCTGGGATTACAGGCATGTGTCATCATGACCAAATACTTTACATTTAGAAATACTTTATCATTAATGTTGATACATACATATATCTATATGAATTTTTTGTGATCAAAATGAAAACATAATCAACTCCAGTTATTATTTTTGCAAGTGTCCATTCGAGCTCCTGGTTTTCTCACTATACTACTTATTTAGTCCTCATCAGAAGAGGTGCAGGAACAAGACATGAAAGTGTATCATTACTATGTTGCCTACTTGATTATTTCATGGTATAATTTGAATATAAAACCAAATGGCCAGGGCTGGAGAGTTGGCTCAGCAGTTAAGAGCACTGACTGCTCTTGCAGAAGACTCAAATTCAGTTCCCAACAGCCACATGGCAGCTAACAACTGTCCTTAATTCCAGTTCCAGGGAATCCGATGCCCTCTTCTGGCCTCTTCAGGCACTGCAATGACAAAGGTGCACTTACATACACACAGGCAAACACTCATACACATAAAATAAAAATAAATAATAGTTTAAAAGAAAACACCAAAAACTCAATGGCCAGCCAGGCATGGTGGTGCACACCTTTAATCCCGGCACTCGGGAGGCAGAGGAAGGAGGATCTCTGTGAGTTCAAGGCCATCCTGGTGTACATAGTGAGTTCCAGGCCAGCTGGGGCTACAGGGAGACTCTGTCTCAAAAAGACAACAAAACAAAACAAAACAAAACAAACCTAAATTGCCCGGGGCTGCAGAGATGGCTCAGTGGTTAAAAGCACTGAGTGCTCTTGCAGAGGACCCAGGTTTGGTTCCCAGCACCCACATGCAGCTAACAACCATCCCTAACTCCAATTCCAGTGGATCCAATGCCCTCTTCTGGCCTCTGCAGCACTGCATGGCATAGGTGCACCTACATACACACAGGCAAAATATACACACAAAAATAAATTGATTTTTTTAAAAAACTAAATGGCCAGCCGGGCATGTGGAACAGGACTTTAATCCCAGCATTTGGGAGGCAGAGACAGATGAATCTCTATGAGATTGAGGCCAGCCTGGTCTACGTGACAAGTTTCCTGTAGCTAGGGCTACAGGAAGACCCTATCTCAAAAGACCAATAAAACAAAAAAACCTAAATGGCTAAAACCTAGTTTGAAAATTATTTCGGGGTTTCAGTTAGTTATCCATATTAAATATTACTTCAATACATAGCTAGAAACTCAAATGATTTCAGCTGGAATACCATACTGACATTTTGAGTGATATACATCCAGAAGAAAGCTAATGCTGGAGGAAATCTATATAGATCAACAAAATTTATCAAAAATATAAAACTGATTTTTATGACATGTAATTAAAAGCATCACACTAAACCAGTTTATATACCTCTCTGGTTTGTTTCAAGCAATAAACTGGTTGCTTCATGCATTCTTTAAAATAGAAAGAATCAGAAACACTATTTATAAACTTTGTAAAACTTGAATAAACAATAATACTGGAACAAGAAGCCAACGTGTTTGGGTATAAAAGAGATGGTCACAAGAAAAATTAAAATAATAGTACTATCATGCTTCATTTATGTATAAATCTTGTTCCTCTTATACACAAATGCTTCATTTCTTTTATATATGACTAAATAAGTATATTTCATTAAGATTTAAAAGATAAACTTGGTGATTGAATAGACTTAAAGGTTGGTAAAAAGCATCTAGGTGGGGGGACAGGAACTCTGAATGCAAGAAAAGGTTTCATGCTTGGTGCAGTTATGGCACAAAATACTGAATACAAGATAGTGGGTATAAGATGAACCTAGAAAGACAGGAAGGAAATCATGAAAGAAGACCTCAAAGGCTATTAGGATCTGCATGTGTGCTCTAAGGGCAATAGGAAGTGCCAAAGGGGTATACATAAGAAGGTGGCAAAACCAATATTTAAACAAAAGTATTTTGGCTTTTGTGGAGAAAATGAATCAAAGGAAGATTCAAGTACATGAGCGATCAATTATGAAACTATTCAGTAATCTAGATGGCACTGTCTAGACCACCAAGATGGAAGTTAGTAGACAGCTCTAAGAGATAATTTGAAAATAAAAACCAGTCTGAGGCATAAGATATGAATTTTTCAAACTGGTTACTTTTTATTTATCTATCCATATCTTCAATGGCATAAATAGAAATTTGAGAGTGACTTGTTTAGATTATGCATAAAGGTTCAAAGTTGAAGGACAAAGATCACATCCTTAGATGGAGAGTGGTGGACCTGAGATGGAGTTCAATGTAGAGAGCTTGCCCCCCCACCACCAGGGGAGCAGTTAAGAAACATTTCCATTTATTTACATAGTAAACCAGATAAAAGTGAAATGCATTCTTACACCATTATATACTTGTGTTGGAAGTCTCGGAAACATTCCAAAATTTGTGCTGTTGTATTATACAAGCACATATATCAAACTGTATCTAAAGTAACAGGCCAATCACTGATGAAATTTTTAAGTGATAGTTGCCAAAATTCTATTGAGTCATGAGTGAAGATTATTATTCATTTGTTGTTAGGTGTAATTTAACCCAGGTACATGAAGAAACAATGTGTATGTATACACATACACTCAGTGACAGTTATACTGCATAGTTCTAGGAAAACTCAATATACTCAATTTTAGATACCACTTGTATCTTCTAACTTAAATAGGAGTGTAACTGAGAAAATTTCAAAAACAATATACTTATTACAAAAATAAGAGTTCTGAGGCTGGAGAGATGCGTTCAGCAATTAAGAGCACTGGCTGTTCTTACAGAAGACCCAGGTTTGATTCCTAGCACCCACATTTAACAATCGCTCATAACTCCAGTTTCTGGGGAATCCTCTTCTGATGCACTGGATGACCTGGGTACATTTACACACATGCAGTCACTGCATGACCCGGGTGCACTTACACACATGCAGGCAATACACTCATACACATAAAAATAATAAATAAAAATATTTTAAAAATAAGAGTTCTAATTACTACTCATAAACATTTTAAAATAGCTTTTAAAAATTTTGTTAATATTTGTATATGATAATATCTGCATAAATGTTCTATATAAATTATTTTAATTCTTTTAAAAAATATCTCCTAAGGTTTATGTGTAACCCAAAAATTCAAACTGAAATAACTTTTGTAGAAGAATTCAGAACACCATACTGAATAATCTATTGTATAAAAATAATTCAGAAGACAGAACCATAGCAGCATACAGTAGAAAATCCTTACCAATTTTTCATCAACTGTTATAAGCTGTGTATCTCGAGTTTGGTCCTGTGCCAACTTCCATGTGGATGTGCTCAACAACCTGTGGTGCAAGACTTGAAGTTAAAAATGATCCATGCCATGAAGAAGAAGCAGACAAATCTTACACAAACAAGCTACTTTAACAATATGTCTTATTAAAAATAAAAAAAAGAAATGGGCGAGGTGGTGCACGCGTTTAATCCCAGCACTCTAGAGGCAGAGGCGGATCTAATAGAGTTCAAGGCCAGCCTGGTCTACATAGTGAGTTCCAGGACAGCTGGGGCTACAGGGAGACCCTGTCTCAAAAAGACCAAAAACAAACAAACAAACAAACAAACAAACAAACAAATAAAATAAATAAATAAATGAAAGAAAGAGAAGAGGCCACAAAAGTCCTTTTTCTCCCCAATTAGTTCTGTCTCCTGAGTTTTTGGCAGACTCTCACTTGACAGTTCACAAAAAGCAGCACTTTATGTCAGTCTACAGACTGCCACAGAAAGGCCACCATGGACAAGTATTGTACTGCTCTCTATGAGGGTACAGTGGCTGGTTTGTCAAGACCAGGCAAAAACATGCAAAACTCTATCAACTGTTCTGGAATGCTGATTCCTAAATGATGGCATCAGGAAAGCTGAGTGATAAGAACAAGATTCTTTACTCTCAAACCAAAAGCAGTTTAAATAGAAATTTGTATGATTGCTTTAACATTATTAGGACAGTCCTCTATTTTGCTCATAAAACCAAAAAAAGTTTGAATGATTAAAATAGAAGTGTTAAATTTGAAATAAAATGGGCACAAAAATCTATCCCCTTCATATTAGCTTTTTCTTTCCTTTCTTCCTCCTCTCTTCCTTTCTCCTTTCTTCCCTCCCTCCCTCTTCTTTTTTTCACAAGAAAAAAAACTTCTAAGGGGCTAGAGAGATGGCTCAGCCAGTTAAGAATACTGGCTGCTCTTCCAGAGGACCTGAGTTTGGTTCCCAGCATCTGCATGGCAGCAAACCATCAACTCTAACTGCAGTTTCAGGGGATCCAATCCCCTTTTACGGCCTTTGTGGGCATTTCACACACAGATGCACTTACATATATGCATACAAAATACTCATATATATATATATATATATATAATTTTAAAAAAATTCCTAGATTTTGTAATAAGCTCCTAAGTACGGATTCTAATTTTTATTTGAAATAATATTCATATTTCATTTCAGAAAAACATATGCCAACTTAAAAGAGCATATATAATGTATAGTTTTGTAGGTTACATGCTAAATAAATACTCCTTAAATGAATCCAAGTCTATATACCTAAGATAGCAACAAAGGGCCAACATTAATAATTACATTCATGAAAGGGTGTAGCTCATTGGTAGTGCACCTGCCTGAGAAGCACAAGGCCCAGGGTTTGATCCCCAGCATTTCTCCCAACCCTCAAAAATATATCTATTTTAAAGTATTATTAGATAACAAAAGAGAAAGTATTTACAACACAGAACAGTAAAGGGTCAAATTCCAAAAAATATAAGGCTGCTCTCACAAATCAGTAAGGAGGGGTAATTCCTAAGCCTAGCTGAAAAAAATAAACATAGGAAAAGTACCTATATCAGTATTTATCTATTTATAAATGACCAATAAGTGAATGAAAAAGTTTAAGTCAAAATACAATAAATGGATCTGACAACCTTTAGGATGTTATGAAAAAAAAGACCATACACGTTGTTAAGAATGTAGAGAAATTGGAATTTCTGTGGGAATACAGAATGGTGCAGAACTGTGCAAATTAATGTGGTGCTTTAAAAATTAAGCATGGAATTACCATGTGATCCAACCATTCTGTTACTGAGTACCCAAAAGAAGTGACAAGAGTGTCTTGAATAGATCTTTATATACCAATGCTTCTAACAACACTATCTATTCAAAAGCATAACCAGCCACAATATTAAGAATTATATTTTTACCGGGAAAATAACCACTTTTTTGTTGTTGTTAAGTGAACTGCTCACATGTCCAGGTTTCTAAAGTATTAACCTTAATTCTGAGCCCAAAGGATAAACTCTGCTAGCTATGACCGTTATTATCAACTGTCATTATTAAAGGACACAACTCATTTGTTTATATTTAGTTTTCTAAGTTCCGTATAAGAAAAAGTCACAGGCTATTGAGAGATCTTAGCTCTAATGCTGGCTTTATAGTTTGCCAGCTCTCTGTGAGCAAATCTCTTCACTTCTCTGTCTTCAGATTTCATTCTTTATGTTTCTAAACTGAGGAACTTACTTTCTAACATTTCTTCTAATGATGATAGCTGATGTGATTCTAGTTTCAGCTCTACTTTTAATAATTCTCAAGCAATATAATATTCTTTATGTAATAATCACTCAACTCATGAAATAATACTTTTCTTTACAAATTTATGCAGTTACAACTTTCAAAAATATGTATGTACTTTGCAGTTTATCCATATTTGCATGGATAGATAATTGGGTTACTTTGCTAAAACATGAATTTTCTATAGACATATAATTTCAGCTTATTTGGACAAATACCTAGTGCACAACTGCTGATCTTAGGTTAATACTATTTTTTGGCTTTTAAAGAGACTGCTACTATCTTTTAAAATGACTGTACCATCTTGTGTTCCCATTAACAACGAATGAAGACTATTTTTTTCCATCTGTGCTAATATTTGATTGTGATCAATGTTTTAGCTATTAGCAATTTTAAGAAGTGTGCAGTGTTACCTCACTGTTGTTAGCCACCTTACACACCCTAAATAGGTTGTTTTAATTTTTTAGAATTTATTTGTGTCCGTGTATATGTGTGATGGGGGGCAGGTATGTAAAATGTGGAAGTCAGAGACCAACTCTGTGGCGTTTTCTTCTACATTTACATGGCTTCTGGGTATCAAACTCAGGCCATTTAGGCTAGCACTGCAAGTGCCTTTACCCGCTATGCCATTTCACCAGTGCCCTGGTTAATTTTTTTTCCCTTTCTTTTTGATGCAGTCTTGCTTTGTAGCCCAGGCTAGCCTAAAATTGCCATTCTCTTACCTCAGTCTCCTGTCTCAGTCTCCAAGTGCTGGGATTACAGGCCTATGCCACATTGTCTAACTTGGTCATTTGTTTTTAAGTTTTTATGTATTATAGATACAATCTTTTAAATATGTGTATTTTAAAAATATTTCTTCCAGTCTGTGGCTTCTCTTCATTCTCTCAATAGCCTATTTCACACTCACACACATACACACACACACACACACACACACACACACACACACACACACACACATATACATGAGGTTTTTTATTTTATGAGATGGGGTCTCACTATGTAGGTCTAGCTGGCCTGGGCTAGAACTTGTCATGTATACCAGGCTGGCCTTGAATTCATAGAGATCTGCCTGCCTCTGTCTCCAAGTGCTGGGGTTAAAGGTGTGTGCTATTATGCCCAGCATAAATACTGTTTTTAATGATATAAACTACACTTTTTAAGACTTAAAATGATTAAAAAGATGTTTTAATTGTACTAAAAAACTGAATCTGAAAAACAGTAAAATTCTTGCCCCAAAGTACAAACAGTACTCCCATTGTGAAGCAAATTGACCTTACCAACTGAGGATAATTTAGTCGGCTTCCCCTGTCTTCTGTGCTGGTCTGAAAATCTGGCTCTAGATATCTTTGGCTCTCCTCCTTCCCACTAGCAAGAGTGTAAGTCTGTGATTGCTTGCTCACCACATGACAATAGAAAAAGGGCTAGTTTCCAGGGATGAGACATAAGAGAGCAGTTTTCACTTGTGATCTCTTGGGACACTGCTGCTTGGACTGTATCACTCTTGGAACCCAGTGATTACTACGTGAAGAAAATCTGACTGTCCAACAGAGAGGTCTATGTGAAGAACTGACAGCCAATAACACTTCACCAACCAAATGGGATCTACGGTGACTACAGAACCTCCAGCTAGAGTTCAGGAATAACAGCAGATGCACCATACAGCAAACCAACTCCCTTCAAAACCTGTCCCAACTGCAGATTTGTGTGCAAAACAGAACTACTAGTACTAAACAATTCAATACTGGAGTGGTTTGTCATGTGTGTGTTTTTGTGTGTGTCTGTGCATGTACATAGTATGCCTGTGTATATCTCTTTTGGTAAGGTGTCAGCAATACTTTCTAAAAATTCTGCAAATAATTGAATATAGTTTGATAAACATTAAGACTAAACTAGTAATTTCAAGACCAGAAATGATCTGCTGGCCTTGAAGATGAAATAAAATTCCTAACCTTATATAAGTCTTTAAGAAATCAATTAATCCTTAGCCTTTTGATTAAAATAGACTGTTTATTTTCCACTTTTTACAAATTGAATTAACCCAAATTCATATTAAATCAGAAAGTGTTTAGCTCCATGCTAAACTAAAAGAAAATATTACTGAGAATTCTAACTGAAATGATAATAATATACTCTCCAGGGCATAATTATCTCAGACCTGAAATATGTTAATATGTCAATCACCCTCAGTTAATGACGTTAAAGTGTCTCAAGAATTTAAATCAACAAAGAAATTTTAAGTTGTCTTCAGCATACTGTAGTCTCTAGAAAGAAGCAAAAGAACCAAATTTTCATTGGTCAAAGGGGCCAGTGAGATGGCTCAGTATATAAAGGCAGGTTATCTTCTAATGCCCACAGGCCTGCCCTGCCTTAGCATGTGTATGCCACACACACACACACACACACACACACACACACACACACACACACACACAATTTTTAAAGGGTCAAAGATCAATTTTAATTTTGAGAAAATTTATAGAAAAGGAAAAGTCAAAGATCCTACAAATGCTTTGGTTAAATTCAAAGAAAATTACAGTGAAAATACTTCATATGTAATCTCTTTACCAAAACTAATTTTCTTTAGTGTAATTCAGATTTATTAGAGTAATTCCTACTGACTACTTAATACTAACTTAAAATGTCCAGCTGGTCAAATCAGTAAAATGCAAATAACTTTTGCGCCTTTTCTTATCCTATGAGCCAGGTGGAACTACTAGCAACTGTGCCTCTAGAT